CGTATTGCCGATATACTTGTATCAGGTTTGATAAATGTCTCAACACTTGTGGTTTAATACACCATTAGACTCTCAATTTATCTTCTCCACTCGCTGACTCCTATTGTCTCCCAAAAAGCACCCTGCCAGACTACAGCTGGGGCCCCTGAAGGAGGTCGCTTCGGACTGAGGCTCATCACACTGACGGGAAAGGTTGAGGAGTGTATTGCTGGCCAAGCAAGCCCACCACTAGAGTATTAACCTCATTTAGACACTGCTGCAGATCTTACAGATTAAGATAAATACCCCCCAGTGATTAATCATTGTCCAAATTACTTGTAACTCCTCTACTTGTATACTTGAAGGGATTAAGGCACTGAAGGCATTAAGTAACACCACATGAAGGAATGCACTTGCAAGATTAATTTTTTATTGATTTTTACATTAGGAATTGGAAAGGACAGCAGGAAGAGAAACTGGTTGTCTGTTCTGTCCTTGTCTGTCTGTTCTGTCTGTCTGTCTGTCTGTCTGTCTGTCTATCTATATATCTATAGTTCTATCTTATCTATCTATCTATCTATCTATCTATCTATCTATCTATCTAATCTATCTATCTTATCTATCTATCTATCTATCTATCCTATTCTTATCTATCTTATCTATCTATCTATCTACAAGTATCTGGGCTGGGAGTAGCCGTAGCACTTGCTACTCAAAGTCATCCCATAGACTTAGTCAATTATGTCATAATCCTTATGAGAATTTCCAATGGCATGGGTGGAACACTAACCCTGAGGGGCAGGAAGCCACTCTACATTTCCTGTAGAAAAGGCAATCACTTGCTGAACAACTCCTTCCCTTTCTCTTCCCTCTCTGTTACACTGTCCCTCTTTCTCTATTTAACTTCTCCCCTCCTCACTCTGAGTCTCCAGACGTACACACACATTAAACACACACACACACACACACACACACACACACACACACACACACATACACACACACACACAAAGAAAGACAGGCAAATAAATAAAGGAAGAAAGTGGGGAATACACAGAGACGAGACGTCTCAAAAAGTCATCACTCCCACTCCCCAACAACAGACACTATGAGAGTGAAACCTAATCATAGACTTGTTGCTAATGTATATTGTGTCACATATAAGATTGTTACTCAGAACAAAAGCTGTACTTTAAACTGGGCAATGAAAACACTGAATACATTCTGTTTATCTTGCAAATTGTGTTATGTTTTGTACATATGATGTAAAGACAATGTTAATAAATGTTTTGTCCTGAAGCTTATTTCCTTATTTCAGTTTTTGGTTTACTTTTACCCTTCTGCCACTAATTTTCTTCTACTGAGACATTTTCATCTCTTCGTTCTCTTTTGGGATGCATTTATACCACTTATGACAGACGCCCACCCCCCATTTGAAAATAGTTGTTTTTAGCAGTTGATATGCATTGCTTTCAAAGCCGGATTTTAATATGCTGTGAGATTAATTCCAAGCAGCCTTTTTCCTGGCATAACCATTAGCGTTAACCCCCTCCCCACCCCCTGACTCCCCTCCTACGCCTGTTGATGGATAATGGTGCTATTCCCTTTGGAGCAGCATCTCCATGAGGCACGATCTGTTGAGAAACGTGGGAGGTCACGACTGACACGGCAACCCCTTTCTGTGCTTCCTCCCAAAAATTCTAAAAAATGCAGACCTACACATGCAGTATATTGTACATTTGTGATTGTATCCTCACTGGTCCTGCCATTACTATATACTATATAATTCTTCCCTGAGCTACCATCAAGCAGCGTTCTTTTCTATAACTTACACACATTGAACACAATTAACTCCTGCATATAACAAAAATCAGTGCAGGAAATAATTCCATTTTCAGAGACAATACATATTCAAATATAAAGTACAGGAATTGTTTAGTATTTTGAAGATACATTTCAAGTACTTCGTTACATCTTACTCTACTGTCTCCACTGAATGGTTTAGAACAATATTTTGTGAAAATACTTGTTAAAGGAAAGGGAAAATCTATCATGCACAATTGTTTTATGTATTTGTGTATTTACTCGTGTATATGTGTGGGCAGGAGTATGGCATTATAGCATTATGTTTGTTGTGTCAATGTCATCTGCATATGGTAATTCATGGTATTAATTTCTATACTTTTTGCCAGTTTTTTTGTGTATGTGCGTATACGTGTGCATCCCTCCCTTTTGTGAGAGTGTATAAGTCTCTGCGTGGTGTGTGTGTGTGTCTGTGTGTGTGTCTGTGTCTGTGTGTGTGCACATGTTACAATGATTAATGAGTCTGGGAGAGTGCCTGTGGGCTGAGATCAGGTGCAACAAGATTTAACTTAGCAGAAAACACTCAATTCCTTTCCTACACATTCAATTAACCCGTCCCTGTGCACTTCTCTCAGCTCCCTCTGCAGAGCCATTCATCTCTGAGCTTACACATCACTCTGCTCCTGCTGCGGAGTGCTCTCATTTAAATGCCATCTTTTATTTGCAGCCCTTTTTTGTTCGCAGTATGAGATTCACACATAACATTTAGAATCAGCTTCTCAGATCAAGTGGCCCAGTCCCCCCTCTGATAAGGACATACAGTAGTATCTGCACTGCATTTAATATTATTAAATCACTGCTTCCTCAAAGCATCGTTTCGAGACTTATTAAGTAATCATATTTGCTTTTATTATGCCCCTGTGAGCTGAAGATTGGCTAAATAGCCACCTGCTGGCTTCAAATGGTGCACTGAACATTAGTGTATAATTAATTAGTTAGGCACACTGTGAATTGTGGTCTCGTCCGAGAACCAAGCAGTCATGACCAGAAAGATTAACTATAGTGATTTTGTTTGCAGAAAAATAATTATTTTCATGACACCAACATATAGTTTATCAAAGTGTATGCCATGTGAAAGAGTTCATGAAACAGAGGTTTAAAGCCTGAATCTATACTGTAAGAAAAAGTCTGGCAGCACTTTGATTTTTGAGATTATAGATTAACATGAGACAATTATCGGTGCCTCAAAGAACAATATGCCAATCACGGATAAATGCATTAAAAAAAAGACAGAAGGTTTCCAACATAATGTTACCCACAATTGCAACAGTGTTTGCTGTGGTAGTTTTTTTTTGTATTTTAAGGTCTTTTTCATTAAAGCTGCACTAATTAATATTTTATTTAATTGAAATGGATCAAATTATAATATTTGATGTGTAATGTAAAATGTATTGTTAATTTTAAAATCTTGGTATAGTTAAAATTGTTTATCTTACAGCCAGGACATATAGCCTACGTGAGCAGTACGTCTCATGTGCAGATACAGCGAGCTTTACTAGAGAAGAGGTCTTGCCTTTTTTTTATGCACAGTTCTCAGCAACGATTGACAGTGAAAATGAACTGTTCATAGTTATATTGACATTAGACCAGCAATATATACCCAGTTTCAATACAGCAGCAAGGTTGTCTGTGTGGACACCACACAGGTGTGTGAGCCACAGCATTTCAGTGAGCTAGCCATTTGCTCGCGCAGGCAGTGTGTGCCGCCCATTAGTTTTCACTGACGAAATCACATTACTATCAACCCTGTTTCCAGCAGGAGCAGGCAGCTATTTTCAGCAAAAACACTCTAAAAACCCACTTTATGCTACCTGCCCAGCACTAGACTGCATACAGACAAAGTTAGTCACTAGCTGGTGAACACAGTGGAGCATTAAGCTGTTAAACAGCCAATATTTTCCACAGGAGTTAATGTTTGGCAAAAATGGAGCTTGTGCTTGTGTGTTGTGTTTGTTGTTTGTTGTTTTTTGTATATGTGGATTTCAATTACTATTTATTATTGGTTTCCTGTACGACTGATCTTAACTACATTAGGTTTGGTTTATGTACCTCACTAGACATTTATACAGCTTTAGATAGGTACACACACCACTTGTTAGAAATGTGAATGAAGCACTTGTCATGTTTTCATCCGTTGTTAAATGCATTCACTCCTTATTCTGCCATGTCATCCATCTGTATCCGACATGATTGTCATTGGTGTTGTATGGCACTGTTTACAGGTTGGAGTTTCAGTATGGGCTCAGCATACCAGTTTCACAGCTGGAGGGTGTTTGTGGTCGTCTGTGCCCTGCCCTGTGTGTGTGCTGTGGTGGCACTTACCTTCATGCCCGAAAGTCCCAGGTTCTACCTTGAGGTAATCGCATTTTCCCTAATTATCACAGCTCAAGAAATATTCACACTGAAGCTGATCTGATCACTCATGAATCTGCTGCTGCAGTTGTATCTTCAAGAATGCCACCTCATGGTGCTGCGTCATTGTCACCAACTGTCTGCGCTTATCAATTTTACAATCAGTGTGTCTAGAATAATACGTGAGGCAGACTCAGAGTACTTGGACATTTCCCAACAGATGTTTGCTGTAATAAGACCAAACAGTGTGAGTCATCTAAGACTCTTGGAGGAGGCCTTAGGTCTGCAAAATAGAAGCCTGGAGAGATCAGTGACAGTAGGTTGGTTTGCTGCTGCAGGATAATTACCCTTTGAAGTAAAATGAATCACTGTAGTCGTGACTCCCATCATTTTGGCCCATCTTGGAGAAATCAAAGGAATGCATTTATGTACAGTATGCACGATTTTGGGTGTGAGACTGCTGCTGTCCCTGAGTAAGGGAGACTGGGGCTGATCCCATGTATTTATCTCGTCTATTCTTTTTCTCCCGCTTTCCTCCTCTCCTGTCAGGTGGGGAAGCATGATGAAGCCTGGATGATCCTCAAACAGATCCACGACACCAACATGAGAGCGCGTGGGCAACCGGAGAAAGTCTTCACCGTGAGTGTTTGTTTCTGCTGTGTGCTGTCTTGGCTGGGTTTCCTGATGCTTAAGGAAGCAAAGAGGCTTATATTCTGCCACTGCTGGGACAGGTTTTAACGCTTTCACCATGCAGGATCATATCTGAATTATGAAGGTTCTGAAAGCTGTTTTGTGTCATTCAGGCTTATTTGCTGTGTGAGCTGCACTTTGGGAAAGCCTCTTAGTCAACACATGTTTCCTGTACTGTAGTACAAACTGTTTACATTTACTGTTCTGACTCTGATTTGATTTTTATTACAGTTATCAATCTTGTGTGAAACTAAGGAAAATCAAACAAGTCAAGTCAAGAAATAAATGCTGAATGCACAGTACACCTATTTTATGAGACTGTAATCATCATTTTCTTTCTTGATTAATTTCCCAGGTAAACAGGATCAAAATCCCCAAACAGCTGGATGAACTAGTGGAGATGGAGACAGAGTCTGGCAACCCAGTTTCAAAGTTTTTCTTTAGGATAAAGACTGAAATACATGGGGTAAATATGTTTATTTATACATAATTGCAGCAGAAGGCTTCATTTTCTTTCTTATTATGAAGCTTAATTCTGTCCACTGACCTAACCCCAAATTTCTCTTTTGACTACATAAAGTGTATTAAGTATCTTGTCTCTTTTTAGATCTATCTGAATCTCATGAAGTGCTTCAACTACCCTATGCGAGAAAACATGACGCGACTAGCCATAGTGTGGTTCACACTGTCGTTCGGGTGAGCTTCCTTCTGACGTCATTTGCTTCATAGAAAAATGTCTAATTTCTCTCGTCAGATAATAACAGTAGTGGTAGCTTGCAGCCACATTGCTCTTCTGTCATCTTGATCTCTCTGCTGTGCAGAAGCTGCATGGTCTCAAAATCAATCACAGTCTGTGGATCAATACTAGTCCATTGGTGTCTCAGTGGGAGCAGAGATAGGAGTGAAAGCAGCCAGAGATTAAAAAAACACCCTGAAAACACCTTTTAAAATCAAACAGAAACCACAAGTGTCTCCTGTTTTTTTATTGTGTCTCTCTGTCTCTCTGCCTGTGTCTGACTGTACATTTAAGAGTGTTATCATCCATGTTTGTGTCACATCTGCTGATCTGTGTTGCTTATCGATGGATTCTTGATATCCTAATATCAGTGTATCCCTCTGGTTGCAGATATTATGGCCTGTCAGTCTGGTTCCCTGATGTAATCAAACACCTTCAGGCAGATGATTACGCCTCCAAAGTGAAGATCCACAACAATGAACACATTGAAGACTTCACCTTCAACTTCACCCTGGAGAACCAGATACACAAAAATGGCCTTTTTATCAATGACCGGTAGCACAAGTCAATTTACAAGCAGGATGAGTGGATGCAAAATCACAAATCAGTCAAATAATTGACCCGCCCCTTATTGTCTGTGCTCCCATAACAGTTGAGCAAGCCTCGGTCAAAACCCCAGTCAACTTCTTCCTTTCCTGTACTTAGATATGCTATGCGCTAAGCTCGTCTATTTTGATAACACAACCAAATTTTGAAGATGGTTAAAAGACAACATAAGATAACCAGCTAGTTAATCTACGTCAATCTTTAGCTAGACAAGCCCAGCACATAGCATATCTAAGTACAGGAGAGGAGAAAGTTGGCAGAGGTTGCAAAAGGAAGGGTCTTAGGAAGGGTCAATTGTCAAATTCATAATGTAAATCACATATTCCTTACAATTAAACATGAACACATTTGTACAATACAGACAGTAAGGTTTACAATCTAAAGTGGCTATATGTTATTGCACTGCTTAAATTGAAACTAATGCAAATTATTATACTGTGACAGAATATTAATAGCAGAATGTAACTGTGCTTCTTCAGATTCATCCATATGAAGCTTAGGTCTGTCACCTTCATTGACTCTACCTTTCATAACTGCTACTTTGATGATGTGACATCGGTGGGCTCCTTCTTCCGTAACTGTACTTTCATTGATGCTTTCTTCTTCAACACAGGTGAGATATTGGGATTGAAATTCTAAACTTTGACATGTATACATAGCTAGAGCAGTATGTTTTGTCATTACTGATTCTCAGGTATAATCCTGTCATGACAAACAAAACAGCCGTAAGACAAGGCAACAATATTGTGATTGGCTCTCTTTTATTACTGTCAAATTGCCATTTCTTTGTATTCTTTGGCCAGACATCGATGAATCCAAGTTGGTAGATGGCACAGAAGTGGTCAATAGCACATTCACACACAACAAGACAGGATGCCAGATGACATTTGATGATGACTACAGTGCCTACTGGGTTTATTTCATCAATTTCCTGGGGACACTGGCTGTTCTGCCCGGCAACATTGTGTCTGCCCTTCTCATGGACAAAATTGGGCGTCTGTCCATGTTAGGTAAGAATGGAGGGTAAGAGTGAGGTTCATGTTTGCGTGTGCTCTTGAGTAATTGGTTTTCATGTTGACTGTAGGATGTTAAAATGATTCATGCTATAGGTGTGCCATCCATCATTGAGTACAAGAAGCAATTTTTATTGGGTCCTATGATTTAGTTGAACATTAGTCAACTGAATGTCACTTGCACTAACTCTTGCTTCACTCTTGCTCTGTGTGTGTGTGTGTTTGTGTGTCTATCAGGTGGCTCTATGGTCCTTTCAGGCATCAGCTGCTTCTTCTTGTGGTTCGGCACCAGTGAGTCTATGATGATTTTCATGTTGTGCCTTTACAATGGCCTGAGCATCTCTGCCTGGAACTCCCTGGATGTGGTCACGACTGAGTCATTCCCTACAGTCAGGAGGTGAGGGGATAAACAATAAATAAGTACATACTAGCTTACATGTTTATGGCTTTACACATAATAGACAGCCATGAAAACACAGAGGTTATTCAGTCAACTTTAACATAGGCCTATTTCTCTTTCTTCTCTACCTTTCTCCTCCACCTGATTTTTCTCTCCCCAGAGGAACAGGCTTTGGGTTCTGCAACGCTCTGTGTAAGCTGGCTGCAGTCTTAGGGAACCTGATTTTTGGTTCTCTTGTTGGCATCACAAAGGCCATCCCCATTCTCATGGCCTCATCTGTGCTTGTCGGGGGAGGCCTGGTTGCACTCCGGTTACCTGACACCAGGGCGAATGTCCTTATGTAACACCAGGATGGCGTTCATCAGATGGGATAAAACCTGGATGAAACCTGGGTAAATCCGAGAGGTAGCCCCTGGGGTGTTTAGCAAGGAGTGCAAATGGCTTGGTTCACACATATCTTAATTAATCACATGTCCCTATTGTAGCATAGGTAAAGCCGGAAAGCAACCCACCTTTTCCTACTGTGTTTTACTTTTATCATGCAAATCAAAATCATTACATTTCTCGCTAGTCAATAATAAGCTCAGCCATTTTGTGAATGTACTGCCTGTAGATTTCACAGGAAAGAGGTGAGAGTTAGCACAGGTTTTGGTACTGAGATATGGAGTTTTGTTCAGTGACTGGTTGCACCTTCCAGCTGCAGCCATAACCTTGTGTGGAGTCACTGCATGGTTAAAACTCAAGGATTTTAATATTGATACAGTCTTATTAAGACAAGCCAGATGGGCAGAAAAGTGAAAAACAAGCTGTAATGAGCACAGCCGACCTGCTGCGTGACAACGGAGGGAATAGATGATCAGACAGATCGGTCACACGACACAGCTGTATGACAGCTGGCTTGCCCACCAGACCCACATACACAGGACATGTTGTAGACAGTGTGCACAAAGTCAGCATACACAAATACACAAAAAGTCACGTAGAAATAATTAATGTGCAAATACATGTCTTAAAATAGACTATACTGTACATGCAATACTTTAGACATTTGCTCTGACATCTGCAACCTTTTCAAAGTAGATAGTTCATGCAGGACACCAAGCCCTTTGCATTGCCTAGCCAAGCAAGAATCAAAAAGGCCATATTGAAAAACTGCATTTTCTTGTACCAATAGTTATATGGTATGTTGCTGTGAGACTGCTAATTTTATTTTCTGTTTTGTTAATGTGAAAGTTGGAATGATGAATTATATTTATTTTATCCAAATGTTGTTACTCAAGGACCCCTTCCATGTGTTGTTACTGTACAAAGGCTCTCTGATGAGCTCTCCTTCTGATTTAGCTTTGTGTTGGATCTTGCTTGTGGCAGTGACATTGATAATGACATGTCATGCTGCTTCCTTTTAAAAATACTGAATGGCCTTTTTTATATGTGCCTCTCCTTAACTGGAGCAGTCTGCCAATAGTCATGTGGTGTCCAAAGGGTATAAAGGAACAGACAGAAACTGAATAGGAAGTAAACAGATAAAATAAAATGCCGTTTTTGTGTATATATGTGAAATAAGTGGCCAATACAGTATTTTATTAGAGTCTAAACCTCATCTCTTTTGTTAAACATCTGTATTTTGATAAAACTTATTTTTGTGAGATAAGCTTCCTCTTCTCCTGAAAAAAATATCTAATTGTTACTAAAGGCCAAACTATATTTACTATAGGTAACAATTAATCATAATATGATCAAATGGTGTTACTGTGCATGACCACAAAGTAATAATGTAAATAACAACCACCTCTTTATGAGGGCTAATTGGTGCCACCTATGATTAAAATGTCTCCTAAGGAAACTTTTTGGCTTTTTTGATTTCGAATCCTAAATTATCTGGAAAAATTCAACTGAAATCAATTTTTATTTGTTACATTTGAGACAAAAATGTGAAACAAAACTGGATGATAAATTTGAGTTCTATCATTTGTTGAAGATTTTTGTCCAAAATTAATTTTTTGGCATAAACTCACACTTGAAAACATGACCTACCTTGTAATAGTATCAACACTGGAACCTCAATGCATATTGCTAAAGATAATGATAATAAGATTATGTTGCTATTTTCAAAGTGTTAAAATACCTCTAAAAATTTAAATTGATATCAACATTTTTTTTTCAGATTAAATCCATATATATAATAACGATATAGTTTATTTCAGTTATAGGTAAGTCTGGTTTGATTTGTGCCTGTAGATTTTATTTTCTGTGGCTAACAGCCAGTATCATTCTGCTTTTCTCTGTATTTGTGGTATCTGTGATTGCAGCATAGAGGTAGTTTGGCCTTGTACTACTGTTGGCTCTGTCAAGGCTGCTAAAAAAAATTCCATAGTGGTACTGTACATGTGCATCCATTTCCACGGACCCAACCTTTTCTCAGAATTTTAAAGTCATACATAATGAAGTGTGCTGCTATTGTGCAACAGATATTTTGACCATATGATTTCAATATTTTTGAAAGAAATGTACGGCATACAGATAAATAAATGCACTGACTGACTAAAAAGTATTGACTTTTGCCCACTGTCCAACGCTGCTGACTGCTGTCAGAAGCAAGAATAACAGAAGGATTGATCTGTATGGTTCTGGATGTGTTCAGTGGCAGATCTACCTGTTGTGGGGAGAATCTTTATTACCTGTTATGTTTGAGGTATTTGGAGTATTGCTTATATGTACTGTATTTATGTGTGTGTGAGTGTGTGTGTACATGTGTGTATAAGAGAGAGTACTGTATGTCTGTGTGGGCTTGTGTATGGATGCATGAGTGTAAATAATGTACAAATCAAAGCTGAAATTGGTGGACTTCTGGGTTATATGTGTATAAGCTCCTTGATTGACTCATATGTCTCCTGCTTTGTCCAAGCGATAAGTCCATCTACTGTATCTCTGTTGTACATCTGTGTGTGTCCTTCGCTTTAAGCCCCTATTCACCTGCTACTCTGTGTGTGTGTATGTGTGTGTGTGCTCAAACTTGCATGTATGTAAGAAAACTTATGTTCTTTTGTGCTCAACTTTGTGTTTTCACTGTAAATTATTCTGGCAGAAACTGATGGCAATATTCTGATTTTTGTTGAGGAAAAATGTGAATGTATCACTCTTGTTAGTTTTGTTCATCCATTTTATGGAGGTAATCAAATGTATGTGGAGAATAAAGTTGTGTATATTATTGTGAAGGGCCTGCCAGTCAGAGGATGACTGAGCTGTATGTTCAGAGGTCCATAAGTGTGAAAATATGTGAAGAAATATTTGCCAAATGATGCCCTGTGAATAATGTTAGAAACTGGAAAGGCAGGGATTGCAGGCCGTGCTGCTTTTGAACATATATACAATAAAAGTTACGTTCTCTAGCAAATTTTGTTGGGCTTTTATTTCACAACTTTTAACTCAAATCTCAGAATAAAATGAATCTTCATAGCCCTACTCATTATATTTTACATTACTGCATAGATTTAAGAATACTAATTTTGCTTGATTCTAAGACTTAGAGTGAAAACTTTTCTCCTTTTTCAAGGAGCTTATTTGCACATATTCATGGGCACTTTTATATGTGTACTTCAGAAGCTAAACATCCAAAATTAAATAACTAAAACTATTGCTGTGTACGATAAAGCAATGTAATACAAAGCAGTCCTCCAGTAAATTCTATCTTTACGAAGGTTATAATGTTTATTTTTTGTTGAAAAAGTTATTGAAAACTTTATTGTAATTTTTAAGTGAATCTTTCCAGTTTGGGATCAATAAAGTCAATCATATTTTGGAGGCTGTAGTTTGCGGTGCTGAACATAAATGACATACACAAAATATTAGGAACACCTCAAAGAATACCAGGTAGCTGAAAGTAAATAAATGCAGAAAAACACATCCAACACATGATTTAAAAAACAAACAAACAATAAAGCCCACCTCCATTTATAATCTCAAACTAATGGTGCCACCTAGTGGATGAAATCAGGTGTTGTAATTATTAACAACTAGGAATTTACAAAATATTGTTAATGTTTATACGATTTTGTGTACAATAATAACTCACAAAATTGTAATTTTTTAAATGTGCTTGACCCCTCCCCCATTGCCAGTAATTGTAGAATATGTTGATATGACAGCAACAACAACAACAACACCATTAATAATAATTTAACTTATATAGCACCTTTAAAAAAACATGGCCATTTATCTTAAGAACATATGGAGCTATAATAGGTTATTTATATGTGTTTGGTCTTTGCCCATTACTTTTGCTGTAATTGTTTTTTTTTTAAAACTAACTGCACATACAGTATTTTATTACAGGTGTAGCAGAAGACATAAAAGGACATCAAGACAAGATATAAACACATACAAATAATATTTACCATAAAATAAAATAAAAGCTAAACTCAAAGACAAATGAACAGGGGAATAAAGTTACACCACAGCTTCAGTGCAAAGACATGAGTGTAGTGGTGTGACGGTATTTCATTCATTTTCCCCCAGTGGCCGTGAACGCAGCATGAGCCACCTTTTGACCAGCAGGTGGTGCAAGGTGCTAATTCTCCATCTCTCTGTCCCGTCAATCATTTCACTTCAGAAGAGTGTAGCGGGGGCAAGATAACACCAACACTTTGTTCAGGACTCACGCCAAAGAAGTGCACACCATGGGGATTGTCTACCGCAAGTGACAGTTGGCGCTTTCATGAAACTTTTGAAGACCTTTTGAGCCCCATTTTCGGCACCCCCACCCCAGTTAACTTGCTTACACACCAGTTATTTTATTCATATCAATACATCCTCCGAGGCGCGGCACATTGCTGGCGTTGTAGCTTGAAGTAAGCTGAAGTTATTTCCAGTTCAGGCGAGTTCACAAGTGGAGGAAGCGACGCAAGATGTACCATGAAGAAACCGCAACTTTACAAAAGCCACGCTATGGAAGTAAGTAACACGTTTCCTAAGAGTTTGAAGCAGGCATAGGTTTTAACTCCCTGGCTTTTTTGTTGGTTATGAGGGACAGCGGTGCCATCATAAGGGATGTCTGATGAGCAACAGGTGGTTCGGCTGCACCTGGTCCCTGTGAACGGCGGGATACCTTCAGTAGGTGTGGCAGCCCCTGACAATATGGCAAAATACAAGTGAATGTGGGTTGAGGAGGACGAGAGGGAACAAACTATCAGTAAACGGGGTTTTTAGGTGAGGGACTCTCATCCTGGTTGGTAAATTAATGCATTTAAAAATTGCTACGTTCAGGGCCTAGGGTATAAGGTTAGATGTTGGTGTTTGAGGGCTGCACACTCCACTAAAATGTAACTCAGGAACCTTTTGGATTGTACTTTCCCTTAAAAATTGCCCCAAACTGCACCCCAGTGATTTTGTTATCTGTTTATTTAATGGTGGTAGCCAGCATATCAGCCTGTCCACACATAAGGCATTTTCTCATAGGTTAACCATTAACTTTTGATATTTTTTTTGCTGCTGTTGAGAAACCGATAACTGACTCTGAGAGTAAGTCAAGATTGGAACCGAGCTAACTGATATAAGAACACACATCTAAAGCCTGTTAAATACTTCATGTTAGATGTTAGTGTATGTATCTTGTCCCTGTGGGTAAAGTGCAACTGTGAGAGATAACACCGATCAATTATGTCATCAATGCAATGTTTTTGCCTCTGACTTGGCCCATTGAATTTTACTCTGACCCACTCTGTCTTGCTCTGCATACATAGCTGTGTTCACAGATAGGTGTTTTGCTACTGTGGATCCAAAAGAGGTGTGTCTCCAGCACAAATAATGAGTAGTTTGTTGCAGATACTGTGAGATTGGGTAGTTTTAGGAACCAGCAAGCAATCTTTAATTTGTTTGCCATGTCATTGTGTGAAGCAGACTATATTTGTCCTATAAAGTTTCCCCCTGCATGCGTTTTAACGTCTAAGTGCTGTTACTGGACCAACGCAAAGTAATTCCCTGGAATAAATTTCTATAAATGTCAGACTAACCCCAGTTCCATGGATTTGTCTCTGAAATGTACCAACCCAAAAGCATTGTCAGTCTTGATTTGTAGTTCCCCTTTGGACACCCACCCCCCCCTAAAAGTTTGGTCGAACCCTGCAGCTAAACAAAAGCATGAGTCATAATCATAGAGCCCGTAACTCAGGTCCAGTGATCCTGTGACACACAAAAGCAACAAAGAGCCATCCTGGAGGTTAAATATAACGCTCAGTGCAAGAGTGCAGACAGACTCTTCCAGGAAGTGTGTGACTGAGTCAGTAGGGGTAGTGTGTAATGGCAGCACTTGGGTTTTTCTGCCTCTGAGATGAGTGTTCATACACATTTGCATTCATGTTAACTGCACAGCTGGACCACTGCTCTACTAAGGTTAGGTGGCCGGATGCTGCGCTTGTGAGGGTTTAGGGCATTTAACACAAGAGGCTGTGTGTGTGTGTGTGCACTGTATGCAAGTGTCTGGACTTTGTCTGTTGTGAGTTTTATATGTCAAGCCTCTGTCGAGACCCTAGCGAACAGATGTCTATGCAGGTGGCTGATAAACTGACAGAATTTAACAGAGAGTGCTTGAGAGGTTTAAAGAATCTGGGGTAGCCCCATAGAGGCTAGACTGAACAGAATATGATTTAATGTCGGACTTGGACTCCACATTGCAGTCCCAAATAAATAAATCAAATATACTGTTTACAGACATAATGCTACTAAAGACAGGCGTTTATATGTGGAGGATATTATAAACTGCCCATGGAAGACTGTGTCATCCTGGGCATTGATTGTTTAGGCTAATCAATCAACAGGTTTAACCAGTTTAACTAGGTATTGGTCTTTGCCCATTACTCGAGGTAGCATAGTGGTATCATCATCATGGTACCCACGGACTGAAGATTGCCTCTGGTGTGTGTTTGCATGCATTATGTATGTTTATTCTTCGGTCTTATGTACTACACTCTAATAAGGAAGATATAAACCATAAAAATCAGCGCTATTCCATGTAAAACCGCAGCTGCTGGCCTGTGCTAGTGAGGAAAGATTGTCTCTTCACTCAGCCAGAAATAAAGAGATTTGATTGGATTAGAGTGGGGTAAGAAGCATTGGGGGGAGGAGATCTCATTAAGCTGCAGGTAAAGGTCAACTCTCAGCAGAAGTCACTTGTCAGTCGAGCACCCCACTAAGGCCTCTCTGACATGGTCATTTCATCTCCCTCAAGGGTTCATTGGAGCATGGGATGTAGTACAGTCTTTCATGTATGTTTTTAATAGGCTGAAGTTAATTTTATCCATCTTATCAAAATTCAGGTGATTAAAGCATTCACATTAAAGTTAGAAACACACCCACTGTGAACTGTACCTCTACTATTTGTGTCAGTGTCAGTACGGTTCCCATGAAAGTCTAACTAAGAATCAGCACAGCACAATCACATTTTGGGTACCTCAGCTTATATTGTACCTTTTAATGTCAGTCTAATGAACAGTTTGCTTTTAGGAGGTTCAAGGATGGTAAAAGACTGAACAACAACATTTGTGATTAAGGTTTTTCTCTGTATAACAGGCTTGGTCTAATGTGATGATTGACCTTTTATTTGATTTTGTTTACCTTTTTCATATTGTTAAATATGTCAAGATCAGAAAAGTTTAACTTTATCTGTAATCATGTTTAATTAAGACCATTACATTCTGAATAATGAAAAACAGTGACATGATTTTGAATTTGCTTGCCTTTTCCAGCCATTCAGGATGATGAGAGGCTGTCAGCGGAGGAGATGGATGAGAGGAGACGACAGAACATTGCCTACGAGTACCTGTGTCACCTGGAGGAGGCCAAGCGGTAAGGAGCGGGGGGGTAAAGGGAAAGACCTTGAAGATAAGAGGAGCTTAATGGCACATGCTGATTAAAGGCAACCACTTCTCTTTATATTGTTTGCTTTGTCACAGCTCAGAGCTCGTAGGAATTACATTGGGTGTGTTCTTGGGCCGAACATTGGGTTTGTTTAATGTTTGATTAAATACACAAACAGTTTTGTATTATAAGTGTGTGTTCAGTTATGTTCGTTTTGCAGATATAAAAACAGCAGGGAACGGTTGAAATATTAAGCAGTGAAGGGAATATGATAGGGAGCAAAGCAAATCCTTTTTGCAGTGGCATTGAGCTGTAATGACAGATAAACACAGAATGCACTTGCACGTGAGTTGATGCCACATAGCTGCAAGCACACAGCTTGAATGTGTGTGATTAAGACTGGGAGGGGCTGAGTTAGTGAAAAGCATAGCACTCTCATTAACCTCATTGGTC